CAAGACCTGGTGTTTGGGGGTTGGGGTAGGGACATAGCAGAATGCCTAACACCCTAAAATTGCTGAACTCAATGTTGAGTGCAGAAGGCTGTGGAGTTCCCGAGCAGAAACTGAGGTGCTGTTCTGAACAGCCTTATTATCACATGGTCTGCTATTACACACAGCCCATTGTTAGCCACTTAATAGTCCTTATTAGCAGTTATTTAATTCTCTTACGCTGAACCTGGAAATTTGAAATTAAAACAGAATTTGCTGGAGAAACTCAGTTTTAGCAACAGTTGTGGAGAGAGAAACAGAGTTAATGTTTTGAGTCCGATATGACATCTTCAGAACTTCAGTATTCAGCAACGTCAGTCAAACATGACCTCTTTTGAAACCCATGCTACCTCTCTTTATTGCTTTGTTCAGTTTCTAGATGTTTTTCTATTATATATTTGAATAATGAATCCATTATCTTTCCTACTGCTGACATTAAGTTAATTGGTCTACAGTGCCGTGAATTGTTCAGTCCTTTTTGAATATAGGGATCACATTAACACTGTTAATCCACTGGCAGTATTCGCTTTTAGAGTGGCATTTCCTTTTATATGTAATTATGTCTCTACTATTTTTCTTTAACTTATATTAATATGTATGGGTTCACAGATTATTGTAAACCCAATGCCATTTGATACATTTGGGTATAAATACCAAATGTTACTATTTCAACTGTTATATCAATGTGCATTTTTATAAATCAATTTTGTCAGGCATGTCAACCTGTTAGGGAAAGAGAGAAGGTTAAGCAGGGTGACTGTAATTCAGTTTGCCAAATTTCAATGTGTAAATGAGCAAAGAAATCTAGGTGTTCAAATCGTAGGTGACTGTTGCCATCCTTGCATTTCAATAGTGACCACAGTATGAAAGTACTTAATGGATTTTAAAGCACTTTGATTTATATAGCATCTTTCAGGATGTCCTACAGAATCTATGACTCTGTAATTACAGAATCATTACAGTTCAGAAAGAGACCATTCAGCCTATTGAGTCCATACTGGCTCCAGGAACAAACACAATACTTATTGCTATTCTCCTTCAGTTTTTCCATAACATCAACATTGTTTTCAAAAAGCAGTCAACTTCTGCTTTGAATGCCTTGATTGGACTTGCTTCCACCATGCTGTTAGTGCATACCAGACCACTATTCACTATTCTTTTTCTCTTACTGTTATTGATTCTGTTTGACCATTTCTTTAAAGTTGTGCCCTTTCATTTTTAATCTATTCATGAATGGGAGCAACTTCCATTCATTTACTCTCCTCTGACCCCTGACAACTTTAAATATCTCAATAAAATCTCCCCTTTTCATTATTTTCTTCAAGGAAAATAGTCCTGGCTTCTCCTTTTAAAAGATAATTCTTGGAGGTATGGGTAAGGTGGACAGAGCCTTAAAAAATGGGAGTGTGGATTTTATAAGTGGGGCCACAGAGTACAAGAGTAAAGGAGTAATAACAACTTTACACAAAATATTGATTAACACACAATTTGGATCCTGTCTGTAGCAGTAGGTACTCCATTATAGACATTCTCAACATTAGTCTAGAAATTTTGGCACACCTGATTGTAAATACAGAAAGGCCACAGGACTTATTCCCATTCCTAAATGGTGAGGGTTAAAGTGTCTCTGGTTTAATAGAGCTTGCAATTGTGGGCTTTGGGGCTGAGGGAGTGGGAATGTGGGAGATCATGGGTTGGAAGTACAAGGGAGGTCACAGGCTTGGGACTGGGAACATGGCAATCAGGTTTTGGAAAATGAAGCTTTTATGGTTTTCTGGTAGGGCGGATAGTTGGTGGAGGTGTGTGTGCCTTTATCCATCCGTGTGTGTGTCTCGTCTCAGGGGTCACTGTAATCAGACTGTCACATTGTTTTCCACATTCTGGCGTTTGTTTCCCTGTGTACAGCTCACAATACCACTTGCTCCAGAGAGACCGTAAGGAAGACAGTGGGGTTATCTTTGGATTTTTAAAGCCAAGAGTAGGTTGAAAACAGTGGGATATGTGGCCTCTTCCAATGATATAAACTTTCAGTGTCCTAAAAAAAAATTAAAATCTAAACAACTTTAGAAGATCAGACGAAACCATAAAAATTTGATAGCTGTAAAACTTTCCTGAAATACATAGGCTCTGACTTGTTGTAAGTTACACTGCAAGTATTTTTAACATCTTATGATTTATAAATGGGAAGCTATTGGCAAAATATATGGATATCTTTTATTTCTTGAGAAATTGTTGTCCTTTGTAGGTATTTGTTGGTATTCTCCTGATTTGTTACAACTGTTTATACATTTGACATAATGACAATTTTATCCCTACCTTTAGGTTCCTGCATTGGAATAATTTCCCCTATTTACCCTCCCCTTTCCCCTCTTCATTAGACTTGTTTATATTGGTATTCATGCAATTCCCTCATTTCCCTTATTTTATGTTCATGTTTTCTGCTGTTACAACTCACTGGGGTATTGCGTTGGAAATCAAGCTGCATTATTTCCCAGCCTTCACAGATGTGAAAATATATAATCAAACCATCCAAAATCTCCAATTTACCTGACTGATGAACCCAGGTTAAAAGAAAATACTCACTAGGTTTCTCTATGTAACAAGAAAACAGTTGTTTATTGCAATCAAAACAGATCTAATTAATGGCCTGAAAGAAACATGAATTGCTAATGTGTCACTCTATAACTTAAACTCTTTCCTTTTTGAAAAACAAATTTCATACACAAACAAATGGACACACGAATCAAGACAAGACACAAATATTATGGGTTGGGAAGGAACCAAAAATGCTGAAACACAGTTCTGGCATCAGTCTGGATTATAGATCTTAATGAGATGTTTTCCTTTAGTTCACTTCTGGGATTATTTTGGCTTTTTGATGAGAATGCAAGCTTAAGGTCACATTATATTTCACTCTTCAGTTTCCTGGTTGAAGATTTGCCATTGTTTTCCTTTTGAGAAGGAAATTTGCAGAGAGAGTTGCCACCTGTTCAGAATTTTCTTTTACTTCTCCACTCACAGAAGGGAGAGAGAGAGAGAAAGAGAGTGATTTATGTGCTTTCCTGTTCCCACGCTGCATATTTCTGCAGTATTAACCAACCACAAAGCTGTAGCCTCTCTTCAAGGAACCAATCAAGAAGTTGTCACCAGGCTGACCACTTCTGTACACACCTTGTCCTTGTTGAAAACCCATTCCAAAGTCTACCACGAAGCAAAAACTGCCCTGTACCCACCATTATGGTGCTGATGGGTCGAGTATTGTCTCCTACTGTTTGAATAAAACAGCATTGACAATGCAATGCAGACAGAGTCTAGTAATTTTTTTTTAACTGTGGCATTTTCTTCCACAATCCATTAATTTAAAGTAGTACCTTTTCCCCATTTCTTTTTAGTTCACAGTCCAAAAAATAGGAGTGGACTTACATCACCCTCTCCTTCATGCAGACAGTGGTCCTTGCATCTCATCACTTCACGTCGGCATTCTTTCCTGTTCATTTTCACTTCAAACATGTGCTCATCTCCCCAATCTAACCACCCAACGCCTGTCCTACTGAATGATCCACTCCATCCTCCATTCACGTTGTCACAATTCTTGCTGATATTATTATATCTCTATTTGCTATCCCAAAGCAACCCATCAACTTCAAACTGCCACTCCTTTTCATTCCTTATTCCCCTGCCATTCCCCTTTTACCTCGGCACTGCTCCCAGCTCTTTGCCGAAGCTGCTGAAGAGGATTGATTGGTGGGGTGTATTATGCTGTCAAATGGGGTACTGTCAAGTGATCAGCATTTATTTCCCAAACTCTACCATTGAGAGCATGGCTGTGAATTGTCTTGAACTGCTGCAGTCCTTGTGCTGAAAGTATCAACAATGATGTTAAGCAGGGAATTCCATGGTTTTGACACGGAATCAGTGAAGGAGCTACGCTATATGTTCAGGTTAGGATAGTGTCTGTAATGGTTGCCAAAGTTGATGATTATCATCTTGACATCACACAGCTGTTTCTAAGTGAAGCAATCACAGGTTTGAGAAGTTGTCCTCAGAAGTTACACCCTGAACCTTGTACAGGAGTAATCACCACAGCTCTAATGTGCAACAGTGTTGCAGGGAGTTGTTGCTTAAACTGTGGATGGATCACTGGTGAGGGGCGTCAGAGTATTTAAAGCTATTGTATATTGAAAAAAGATAGCCATGCATTACAATGTGATTTTAAAGGAAATAATGATTGGGAGGTGAATGACACATCACAAAATACTCAGCCACTAACCTCCTTTAGTTGGTACCACATGCAACTGGCCGTGTCAGGTTTCAGATGAGTGGTGTCCCTCAGAACGTTGATGGTGGGGGATTAATTGATAGTAATATCACTGAATCTCATGGAGGAGTGGCTACACCCTCTGATGATGGACATTGCCTAACTACTGTGTGGTGTACATGTTACTTACTATTTATCAGCCTCAGACTGCATGTTGTCTTGCTGTTTATGGATAACAGACTGTTTCATTACCTGAGCAGTTGAGAGTGGAATTTAACACTGTGCAAGAACAAACAGCTTTTGTATCTAAAGCATAATATGGTCTGTGATAGAGTGAGGTGAAATCACATCATCTCAGAAGGTATTTTAATGTAGTGGTGAGGGTTTTGAAGCCAGTTCACTGAGGCATGAGGAACAAGTGCAAATATGCTTGAAAGATGAAGAGTAATGAGAGTGTGAAACTTGTGTTGATGATAGATGATCAAAGCATTGTGTATGAATTTTAATTTGTGACAACCAGCCAAGCCTAAATGTAGAAATGTGTTGGGTTCTCAACAGCACCAAGGGAAACAAAAATTGCAGCGCTTAAGATGCTGTTGTGTATACAAGTTGAAGCACCTTGAACATTACAATGCTTATGTTCATCAACTAGTATGTAATTAGTAAACATAATTGATTTTCAAATCACATTTTAATTTATTTTCAGTTACCTTCAAACTTGAAAAGTAAAGTTGTTTATGTAATCAAGAAAATTAGCGGTCCTGTTCTAAAAGAGAATTACAGAAGAGTCCTTCTGTTTGGGCACTTGTCTGCATCTCCACTAAATCAAATAACTACATTGGTCGAAGAGGTGAGTGCTTTTCTCTCCCAGATAAATTGAAACCATATTTTGAGAAATTACAAGCTGGATGAGCAAAATTACATGCTTTAATTTTGCATTCTTTTTAAAGTATGAGTTTATTTTTATGTTTATTTTGTTTTTAATATATGTTTTAGTGTTTCATTTTTATTATTGTTTTACCAAATATATAAAGATGTCTTACAGCCAAATGATAAGTTATAGGATGGCTCCCCTTTCTTTCTGCTTCTCAGTTGAATGCAACAGGCATTTTAAAAGAATGTGTATTTGCAAATCTAGTGAGTATTTAACCATTTAAGTGCTGTGACCGCAAAATATACACATTTCTTTTAGAAAGTACTGTTTATTGTCTTTTACACTGATAGATTACAAAATACTCCAAGTTTCTCTAGCTCATATATCCAAAAACCTGACAAGCCACCCAGCCCTTTACAAATGTAGGTGACAAGGAAGGGAAGGTAAACTAAGTTATTTGAGCATCCAAAGGAAAGTCAATCATATAGAGATCCTGTAGGTTTAACATTGTATGTTTTCAGGCTATGTTTAGTGATTTATTTTTCCTTGATTTTTCATGGAGAGATTTAAAGTCTTGGCAGATAATTTCTGTCTTTCCTTCTGAAGTCAGCAGCTGTTTGATTTATGTTGAAGACATTGCCTGTAATATTTTGGCTGGTTAGACGCAGGCAGGTCACGTGTTTGCAGAATTACTGGAGAGAAACTGGGTAGGTGGGGGCGTGGGGGCCACAAATTCTCTCTCTTCTCAGAGTAATCCACTGTGGTCTGTCTGACTCTGGGAAAGCAGTGTCTTTATTGGCATAATCTTGATCTCCATTCAAAAAGACTAGTAGCAATATTTTTTATGTAACCTCCATTCACAAATTAATCAGTTGCCTGGATTTGTTTTACCTACAAACTTTGAAATTTGGTTCCACATCCAAATATAAATTGTAAATAGCTAGGATCTAGTTACTGATTCTTGAGGTATCCTACTAGTCACATCCTGTCAATCTGAGAATGCTTACCCTCTGTTTTCTGTCTGTTTATCAATTTTCAACCAATATCAGTTTGTACCCTGGTCTCATGGTTTAGTTTTGTTCACTAATCTTATTGAAAGCCTTCTAAAAGTCTAAATATACCACATCCACTGATTCACCCTTCATCCATTCTCCCAGTTACGTCCCTCAAAAAAAAGACCTCCAAACAGATTTGCCAAACACGGTTGATAAGTTTAAACAGATTGTCCTGGTGGTCTAGTTCCACCGAGCAAAGCTCATTTCTAATAACTTCATCTTGCCAATTACAACTTATGTGATTATCTTGCCATTTTGAGAACTGCTGTTTAGGCTACTTAAAAATATTATTCAACCCACTTAAATAATATTTTTGGTACAAATATGATTTTGTAACAAATTTAGAATTGCTTAAAAATATTTAATTCTACATTTTTTAATGATTTCTTAAATATACAGGCAAATAGCAAGCATTTTGGGTGGGGAAATCAAATGCTTTTTGGGTATGAAACTGTAATTGAATATTTTAATTAGACTGCTTGCTTCAAGTTTTAGAAGCATTTTACTTCTAACACCTTCAGGCCATGTTTGCTGGTGTCTTTATCTGAGTCAATTCACATTTTCCTGTTTAGATGGGGGAAGTGATTCACGCTGGTATATATTTCTAAAGAATACAACAACTCTGTCTATACCTCTGTCAAGGTTTAGTCCTTTTGCTGTAAGGCTGGATGTTGAGTGTTAGTGTGTAAGTACAATATCGGTTTGTTTGTTGGATGGAGTCAAACTCTGATATTTGTTCCTTCATATGCTTCTGTACAAAACTGAACTGCTTTAGTGACTATGTGTGTATATAAAGATATTTTTTATGAATGAAGTATATTTTTGAAATTTAAGAAAAAGTTGTGTTAGCAGGTTATTCAGTTTGGTGGGTTGTGGGGAGCATAGAAGCAAAACTTGATCCCTGTTCTCAACTGCTAACCTAATTGTATATATCAGCAGGAGTTCTTCCTTGGCCTGACACTTCCAGCTGTGACACTTGCATTGCTGTTCCCAGAATTCTAATTCAGCATGGATCTGAGGTTGAACACTCCTTTCCTGTATAGTGAAATACAAAAATAAAGTCACCATAGTCAAAGAGAGCTTCTCTCTTATAAAATGAGACTAGAGAAGTGTATGTAACCTGAACATCATCATGCTTTAGGCAAAGGGTGAGGTTAAGAAGGCCGGACCTTCATGTTGACCTCAGCTGGTATGGGACTTCTTGTCATCACTGTGCATCACAAAGCAGCCGTCCAGTTAATTAAACTAACCGATCCCCATTATCTATCAGCCAGTGCAGTACCCATTTATAATTGGGGTAATATGCCCCTTATTTCAACCTTTCATGTTATGAGTAACTAATCAGGTGAGACAGAGAGCACATTACCATTTACAGATATCTACAATTTCAGCTTCTTTATAGCCATATAGCCAATAAAAAGTGTGAGTTTCATGGAATGACTCACTCACGCAATTCCCACCTCCACTCCTTCCTCTTTGGAGACGCTGCTGACAGTATCATTAAAATAGTCCAGTACACAATTTCAGCCCATTATTTTTAATCCATTCATAGGATATAGGTATCACTGGCAAAGCCAGCCTTTATTGTCCATTCTTAATTGCTTTTGAGTAGGTGGGAGGTGAGCTGCAGCCTTGAACTGCTGCAGTACTTGATGGATAGTTACACCCACAGTGCTGTTAGAAAGGAGCTCCACAGTTTCCAGTGGCAGCGAAGGAATGGTGATATAGTTCCCAGTCACAATTTTGTGTGTCTTGGAGGCGATCTTGCAGATGGTGGTACTCCCATGCATCTGCTGCCTTTTTCCTCCAAGCTGGCAGTGGTTATGTGTTTGGCAGCTGCTTTTGAAGGAGACATGGTAGTTTGTGCAGTGCATCTTATAGATGATACATGCTGGTGACATTGTGTGTTGGTGCTGATGAAGATTAATGTTGAAGGTGAGTAATCAGGTGTCCACCAACCAGGGTTGCTTTGTCTTGAATGATATTAAGTTTCTTGAGTTTTGTTGGAGCTGCACGCGTCACATAGATGGAGAATATTCCATCACACACCTGACTTGCGCCTTGGAGAATTGGGGTGTGAGCTACTCATTACAGAATTCCTAGCCTCTGACAGTATTTGTATGGCTGGTTCTGTTCAATATTTCATCAGTGGTAACTCCCAGGATGTTGAATGATTATAATACCATTGAATGTGAAGTGGAGATGTTCAGATTCTCTCTTGGAGATTGTCATTGCCTGCCTGCTTCTTGACATCTAGTGGAGTGAATCAAATTGGTTGAAGGCTGGAATCTGTGACACTGGGGTACTTGGGAGGAGGCTGAGACAGATCATCCACTCAGCACTTATTACTTATGGCTGAAGATGATTCAAATCCTTCAGCCTTGTTTTTTGTACTAATATTCTGGACTCCTCCATTGCTGTGGATGGGGATTTTTATGGAGCTGCCTCTTCTTGTTAATTGTTTTATCGTCCACCAACATTCATAGCTGGATATGGCAGGACTGCAAACCTCAGATCTGATTTGTTCGCTGTGGGATCATTTAGCTTTGTCTGTTGTATATTGCTTCTGCTGTCTGGCATGCAGATGTTGTATCTCCACCAGGTTGCATGAAAAGTAGTCAATATTTCTGTAGTTGCTAGACTAGGACAAAAATATAAAATAAAAACAGGAAGTGTTGGAGAAACTCAGCAGCAGCTGTGGAGACAAAAACAGTTAATGTTTCAAGTGTGGTATTGGAAGAAGAGTCATACTGGACTGAGTATGAATTATTTCTCTCGACAAATGCTGCCAGTTCCTTTTCTTTTATTTCAGGTTTCCAGCACCCACAGTATTTTGCTTTTATATGACAGACATGTATATAGATAACATTTCTTATTAAAAATCTATGTCTGATCGTATTCACAAAATATATTTTATTGCTTACATATTTTAAATGGTATCTGTATTGTGCTGGTGTAATTGTGAACCACCTCTACAGTAGAACTGGTGAAATTTTATTGAGGTGCTTTACAACAATGTTAGTAGGCCCACAGGTTTCTGAAGGGAAGACAGCATTTGAAAATGAGACTACTAAACAGCCATTCAAATGGCCCTCAATGGTACTGCATTTGTAGTGTTCTATATCATCTGGAGTATTGTGAGCAGTTTTGGTCCCCTTGTTTAAGGAAAAATAGTATTTCTTTTGGAGGTATTTCAGAGAAGGTTCACTCAGATAATCCCTAGTATGGAAGGATTGTCTTATGAGCAAAGATTAAACAGATTGAGACTCTACTCATTGCGATTTAGAAGAAAGAGAGGCGATCTCATTGAAAGATAAGAGATTTAAAAGGAGCTTGACAGGATAAATGCTGAGGGAATGTTTCCCCTCGTGGGAGAGTCTTGGACCAGAGACCATAGTCTCAGAATAAATTTAAGATTGGGACAAAGAAAAATCTCTTTTTTGAAGTGTGTGAGTTTTTTGGAATGCCTTGCCACAGAGAGTTGTTGGGGCAGAATCCTTGTGTATATTTAAGGCTGAGATTAGGTAGATTCTTGTACCATAGGGGAATCCAGGGTTACAGGGAAAGGGCAGCAAAGTGGGCGTGAGAAGTGTCAGAAAAGCCATGACCTTAATGAAGGTTGGAGCAGGTTCAAGGGGCCAAACTGCCTACTCCTGCTCCTATTTCTCATGGTCTTAAAAAACAGAATGGCTGTTATACACAAGCAAATTTTCTTAAAAGTTTGCCCTGTAAATACACACACACGCACCCACCTTGGTTGCCACTGCTAGTTTACAGAATAGGTGCCACTGCTTGCAGGCAGCCACCTTGTATAAAACTGCATCCTGCCCCTTTTAACTGTTTGTTTCGTTATCATTAGTCACTGAAGAAATCTGTGGAAGGTGTAGACTGAGGATGTTGACATAGACCTTTCTGCTTCCA